ACAGTAACAGCAATAAGAAAATACGTAGTTTATTCCAAGAAGATATCGTCTCTCTCCCATATATAATATCTTATTGGAACCGATATGTTCCAGATATCAAGTGGAAGACAGTCTGGATGGTCCCCCATAAATATTTGATTGTAAATAAGGTGAAAGAAGTCTCTTTTAAGGATGTGCACATGTACATACAATCAATATCAGACTGCACCAACAAAAAGGCTCAAAACAATTTATGTATGTGAATTTTTGCGTGTATTCTTATAATTGTTACCTTTTTCTTTTACCCCTGGCTTTGTGTGTTCATGTTCTGTTGTTTTGTATACTTCATCTGTTCGTATGTTGTGTACTCATTGTTTGTTAAATAAAGTTTATAAAAAACAAACAAAAAAACGCTTGGTATTTGGGGAAATCGACGCATTTGGAGTATGCATTTGAAGTACACTTCGAATTGGGACAGCCGTCGTCGCGTGGCGGTGACGTAACCGCACTTAAAATGCGTACTCCAAGCGTGCAGACCCTGAATTGGGACACAGCCTGCGTGTGTTTCACCACACTCCGGCCGGTGGGGGCGGTGTAGCTCAGGTGAGCGTAGAAGAAGAAGAAGAAGACCTTAGCCGCCGTTAGCCGGAGCTGAGACAGCGTGATGTCCGCGGTCTCTAAGGTGGTCCTGGGAGTGTCCGTGGTTCTGACCGTGAGCACCGTGGCTGCGGTGCACCTCAAACAGGCCTGGGACAGAGAGGTAAGCCGGGCCGGGGCAAGCCGGGCTAACATCTAGCCTGCGTGTGCCGGAACGGGTCACGGGGGCTAACGAGGCTAACGCTAAAGCACAGGTGGTGGTTAAACTCAATTGAACGGACACAGGTGACGTCACACAGACGTTAAAAGAGTAATAATAAATAAACACGATAATGACGATAAACAGCAGCCAACAACCGCATCCTCCAACGCTTTTCAAAATAAAAGACTCAGTTGGCAGGTAAACAATGAGTCCTTACATTTATGGCTCAGTTAGCTAATCAGGCGTTATCAGAGTTAACTTTAGTTCAGGTGAGTGCAGAACACGTGACTGACAGAACTGCAGTGGGGTCAGATTTTTCATTTCTGATTCTGTTACGCTTACAGGTGTGCCTTTATTTTGGAGGTGCGTTTTCTGTCCTGCTCTTAAATAACAAAGAAACAGAAAATCCCACACCTGGGTTTAAGGTGTTCGCACCATGAGAACAAAGCTTGGAAGCTGCTGGAGGCATCTCACCTGTGACACCTGTTTCAGTAATCAGTGATCAATAATGATCACTTTCTCCAGCGCCTTACAAGAAACCCAAGAATGCTTCGCAACACAAGTCAAAAAGGTCAAAGGTTTAAGTTTGTGTGTTTAAGTTGAAGTGAAGCTCCTATGGGAGAGACTCCACCTTTGAGGGTTCTGTTGCAAGGGACAGAAAGCAGACCGGACTGTGTACAGGTGCTGAGGGGCGGAGCACTGAGGGATTAATGAGTGAGAAGCAGGATCTGTAAGTGAACCAGTGGAGATTCATGAGGGCAGGGCTCACATGTTCCCAGAGCTTGATCAACGATGAGTTGTCAAATATCGTATTCAATTTAAAATTTTGTTGTTTACTTTTAAAATTACTAACAACACTGCACCCAGCTACCTTAAGGACCTTTTAAACCCTTATGCTCCTGCTAGGGCTTTAAGGTCATCGTCACAGTTACTGCTGGCTCAGCCCAGATCTCGACTTAAGACTA